ACACTTCTTTGTAGACAAATACATTGTTTTCAAAAATGGTATTTCTCATAATCTTAAATGTCTCAAATAAGAAAACATCCAAATTCTGATGTTTAGCTTCAAAAAATATACTCTGGGGATATTTTTAAATTCAAAGAATATTAAATGCTTAGAATAGATTTATAAATAATATTAAAATTTTATTACTGTGATGGGCAGCTTGGACATCAACTCTCAGAGGCAAATGAAGCAAAAATATCACACACAAGGACACTGTGTCAAGGAGGACAACGGTGACAGGTGAGGAGAAGATCTGCAAATCAGGGATAGAGAAGGTTGGAGAGGACCCAGGTAGTGAGGGCACAGGTGGTAAACAAAGGGCACAGGCAGGAAGGAGCCAGAGCACAGCAAACGGGCGAGCTACCTCTCATAAGCAGTCTTCAAATTCATGGTTGGGGCTGATGTGAGGGGACCACATCCAGAATGATGGGGAAAAGGGGTTTAAAGGGATCCACTCAAAGAGCAACAGAACGTAAGAACAGCAGTGGCCACAGGCTGATAGAAGGGAGCTACAGAGATGACAGGTGCAGGAGATTCACCAGAGGACGATGGACAGTACAGAGGCACAAACGGAGAAAGGAGCCACTTTCAACCGCAGTTTATTTTCTAAACCAATAAATGTATTCAGCACCTCTTAGCACTAAGCTTTAAAACCTAACGGATTAAAATGTGTCACCCAAATTTGAAATGATCTTACTATAATATATCAGTTTACCTACCATCACCAATCATAAATCATTTTTATTTCTATACAGGGCCACAAACACAGCAAAGTGAGTATCACAGTAATTCTCAAGAATCAAGGGTTTAAGACAACTGTGGTCTCAAAGTTGAATCAAGACTGAGGAATTTTAGTTCTCTGGTTAACAGAACAGAACAGAGGGGGACCTAATGCGGGAACTGTATTTATACCAAATGAAGGTCAGATAACACAACAAAGGTTTTTTGTACCAGTTTGTCAAGAGAAAAAAGGTAAGAAAAATCTGAGGTCCAGCCGCACACTCTAATATAGACATGGCAACAACAAAAAGCCCAGAAGAGACGAAAATATTTACATTTCAAGTAGAGAGTAATTCAATAAAACATCCTCAATATTAAAGTCTTTTACATTTTAATTACTATGTAATTGTGTTAATTTGCTTTATAATTTTATAGGGCTAAGAAGTTTATACATTTGCATTGATACAATTTTATGCATTAAACAATGTCTTAACAAAAATAATTCAAGACAATACTGAGTCCAAAAGAATTATTTTTCTCCTTAAAGAAGTCCGTATGTTACTCAAGATTAAGAAACCCAGGCAATTAGATATTTTACTTTTCTTGTGAACTCAATTACTTTTACTTGAGTATTAAGATGATTTTTTAAATTACAGCAATAAAAAGATAATTTATGATAGTGGATATAATCTGGACATCTGGCAATCACTACTTATTTGGACAACGTGGCTTGAGAAGCAGTAAAACAATACATTTCTCTTTGTCAGTTATCCACTGTGGAGAAAATCTACCTTTTTCCCTCAAATTAAGGGCTGACAAACTACAAAGGCTATAAAATCTCACCCTGTGTAATAAAGCATTCACAATTACCATGCTTGTTGATTGGAAGAGTCTTTGGACCCAAAAAACATGACATTAAGTATTATAACTAATTTTACTACATTTTAATGTAGATGTCCTGTCGAAACCTCACTTTACATTACACTGTTAATTTTCCAGATTACTCTGTAAAATTATCTATTGTTAAAAGCCTGTTTAAAAAAAAAAGCTATTATATCAGATGAAGGAAGAATACACACACTCCATTGCTTAGTGTTTCCCCATAATCTCTGAACAATATTTTAATTACTCAACTGCACTGAACAAACAAGGAACAGCTTTCACTCTCAATGAATTCAAAGATTTGCTTCGTTACTGACCACGGGGTTGCTCACTTCTACTGGTTTCTCAGTGCCGGACATTAGTCTTCCTTTGGAGGTGGGATATTGCCTTTACTTTTGTATAATCTTTTGGCTGCCACAATCTCAGACAGATGTAAGCAGCTGCTCAGTACTCAACTAAGACAAGACAAAAGAATCCACACGTAAGTCTACATCTGGAGCAGAGGGGCCACTGCACAATCCTTACATGGTATCTGGTCAGCTACCCACTGGAGAAAGGATGATTCCTGGAACGTTTCTAAGTTAAGAAAGTGAAATCTATCTGGCTTTTATCACTGATTTCATAAATGAAGTTGCAGAAAAAATTTTGTACTGATCTTTAGATTACATGTAAAAATGAAATGCAGAGGGCCTTTAGGAATTTTTTAGGTGAGAATGTCCCATTAGAGATGTATGTAAACACAATGGGCAACCTCTTCATATCCAGTGATTCTTTAAAATCATGTACTCACTCCATGATTCCCTCAAACCCCCTTATTTCACAGGATGATAGTTTTGACTTGTCATTTATTTTCTGTGTCATCAAATACCTTCAGTAATTTTCTCTTCAGAAAATACTTATGGTGTATCTTTTCAGTATTCCACTATACTTTTAAAATAACCAACATTTTCAGTATGACCTATGATAAGATTTCTATCTACTGTTTAGTAACTTCAAAGAGGCATATTAATTTTAGCATAAAAGATATTCTATTTCCATACATTTTGCTTGTCAATAAACACAGTACTGGGTAGGAATTAACTGCTAACGCTCCTATCAAGCCTGTAATACGCTGCATCCACTGCTTTTCATAATGTTTCTGTTTTATATACAAAATACAAATGCTTTCCAAAATCTTCGGAGCTGGAATCCTTTTGTGAACACAACCAAAAGCCAATCAAGTTGTTACTGGAAAATCATATTGTTACTTCTCAGAAAAGTGAAATCAGTGCCTTTTAGATCCTTCCCAGCAATTAATTATACTATAATGCTACACATATATGTCTAAAAAATATACTTACCGAGAAAATCTGGGGGAAAAAATTCCTTAAGTAACTCCCCAAATTGTTATTCACGACACTAGACAGCATCACCTGCATTTACGCTCTTTAACGTGTACATGCAAGCACGGCTGTGCACCCACGGGAAGAGTGAGCACAGCTCTGACCAAAGTCTATACCTCACGATGCGTCTTCCAGAGCCGCCCACATGGTCACACACCAAATCCAGGGTGGGAAACACATCGATATTTTCCAGCCATGTACTCTAAGTTTTCAAAACAATATGAATTTCATGCATATTCATCAATAACAATATATACTTAGTGGGAAGTAGTTAAATTAATGAATTGGTATTAAGTAATCCAGACTAATAAACCATATGCAAGTCAAACTAATTCACTCCCCAGGCACCTACTCAAATTTGAAGTGTGATAAATTCTTTTAAAAAGATAATTTAAAATTATAATTTCTAAAAAAATTTTACACCCGAAAGACTCAAATACCATTGACCACCTCTTATAAATGTTTATGTTCCAAAATCCTGAAAAGTCACACATAAACCTGTAACAACAAATGCCATTACTTTAAAATACTAGAAAAAATATTTTTAAATGAGGGATTCTGAAAATTAGTAATTAAAACCATTAAAGCATAACACTGACCTAACAGGACAAATATTTTACTTTTGCAATCTTTATTAACACATGATCATCCCCTAGAGTCTCACCTGCTAGCCTTTCAAACAAATTTCGAAGGCAACACACACCTGTGGGGGGGAGTCCTTCACAACAGCGGGTGCGGGGAAAGGAGGGTGGACCAGAGGTCAAGGTGCCCAGGCTCTCAGCCCACCACTGTAGAAACAATGTACAGCACTCAGATGGTTATCAGCGCCCACATATGACAGGACACGCTCTCCCAGTGGGGAAGGGGGTCACTAGAGACCGATTTAGACTGTCAGGAACCACCACTCTCACATAGGATATCAGTGAAATTCCACTTAATTTCAATCACTTAAAATTTTTAAGAATGTATGCCAAGGTAATAGTTCATTTCAAACCTATTTAAATAAATTACACATGCACTAATTTATATGTATACATTCTCTACGTGTCACTTTAAACATCTTTGATAATTGAAGCCATATTGAGGGCTTCCCTGGTGGCGCAGTGGTTGAGAGTCCCCACGGGTTCGTGCCCTGGTCCGGGAAGATCCCACATGCCGCGGAGCGGCTAGGCCCGTGAGCCATGGCCGCTGAGCCTGCGCGTCCAGAGCCTGTGCTCCGCAACGGGAAAGGCCACAACAGGAAGAGCCCCGTGTCCCGCAAAAAAAAAAAAAAAAAAGCCATATTGAAAACAGCAAATTTAGATAAACTGCCACTGACTTTAAAGTATTACTCGCCAAGAAAAGGTAGCTCAGAGCTTTAACTTTGAATGCACTTGATAAAAACATGTCAGGGTTGAGAAATCTGTCCTTGTTACATGACCCCCTTACTATTTTCTTCAGAAAACAGAACCCATAAGAGAGAAGTATTTTCAGCAAAATAGTAACCCAAGCGCTCTGAGATGAAAAACGGCATCCGAAAGCCTCAATCACTCTGGTCAAAGCAGAGCACAGGTGGACTTTCAATTCAGAATTATGTAGCTGCCAAAGCAAAGGGTAAGTGAACAAAACTAACCCCAGTTAGTGCTAAGAGCACTGGGGGCAGATATCATGAAGAAAAACTGGAACGTATGTTTGGATAATTTGCAATCTCTAATTCTAAAAAAACTGCTAGAACTCAAACATCTTTCTTAACAATATTTCTGGTGAAATCAACTTCAAAACAGAATACCTGGGATCCCTCCTTCTCCTAACAAGAAATTAAACTTATTAAGTAATCTGTACTGTTAAATACTCCACAAATTCCAATTTGCAAGATGTATACAATATAGGATAAATAATAAAAAGGTGTGTATAGGGGAAGGCTACAATAATTCCAATTTCTGCTACCTCAGCAAGTTACTGTACACATACCACATCAATATAACAGAAATGGCACAGTTTCTGAGGACACATTCCACATTTTATTTACAATTTAAGACTAACGTTAATCTCAAAATCACATATCCATATATCTATTTCCTTTTTGTTGATTTCATTTAAATGTAAATGCATGGTTTGTCCAACAAAGACTGTAAACAACTCTTCACCGCGTCTGGTACATGGAACACCCAGGAACAGCTTGTAACGGAAATCCGTCCACCTCCCCACAACAATTTTATTATAAATACAGGTATCAAAACAATCCTGAACGTATTTTTGATACTACTAGTAGTCAGCACCTATACCGCTTCGAAAATGAACACGTTTTGTGACAATATTCATTGTACCTGCCACTTTAGACCATTTCAACGGAAGCTCTTTCACTAAGCGAGAGCACGCCATTCTGGGTTTTCCTTCTTGGGCTTTCTCTTCAGAAACACATCTGCTTGCACAGCCATCTGACACTTCTCGCTGTTCTTCCACCTGGAAACCTGAGTTCCACTCTGAGTACTCCAGGTTCATGCTTAAATGACGGTGCCTTAACAAGAAAAAAAACTGTGCTGAATTTTCCTCCTGTTACCTGAAAACATAATGGGTGTACATATATTAAATATACTCTTACAGATGTCCAGGTCATGTTTACCAGCTGGAATTATCTTACTTAATGTGTGGGTATTTTGCATTGTGATATTTAATCAAGACATTAACATGAATAGAAGGTTGTTGATTTAAGACAAGTTTTAAATCCACTAAAATTAATTGTTGTATGTTTGTCCTTCTGGTGGCTGTGGAAGCTTCATATTTTCTTTGGACATCATTAGACGTCTTAGCTCTTGAAGTACAACTTTAATGCTGTATGAGTTTTGCCATTTTGCTAACACTGGTATGCTCCGTGCATCCACCTGAAAGGAGGGGGAAGAAGAGTAAAATCAGCTGCCAAGTTTAACGGGGTCTGGCACCAATATACTAGACACACTTTGATAAGAAGTACTTTTAAAAATTCATAGCTTGGCTCTATTTTCACAAAGCGAACATTATGAAACTACTGGTTCATATAATACTTAGGGAAAATATTCCTTCTTCAACAGGTGTTTCCTAAAAAAGTGTGTCCTTTTCGTGTGGTGCTTTTCTGTAAACGTGTAGGGAACTTCGGTCATCAGAAATAAACAAATGTTATATAAAATAACTACACGTAAACATATTTACCAATTCCTTCTTGATAAGGTCAGAGGTTTCTCTCCATTTCCAATGCCACGACCCAAAGTCTGGGCAATGACCTCCACCAGGATTAAGGAAAGAACTGCGAACCCTGACCTCTGCTTTCAGATCTCTCTCTCCCGTGTGTTCTCCGCACTGTGCTAAATTCATCTTCCACTGCAGGAAACTGGCAGGATGGGGCTGGAGCTCCTTCAAAGCCTCACCCCCAGGTACCTGCCATCTCTCGGCCTGCCTGAAAGTTCCCTGGAAAACCCCTCCCATGGGGTTTCTCTTTGTCTGACCTCAGAACTCACCCACGGAGGACCACCTAGTCCCCGGCCCACCCCTCCACCTGCTGTTTGCCAAAAATAACCAGTGTCAATTGTGTGACACCTCGGAGACACAAACTACTATGTACAAAATAAGCAACAAGGATGTACTGTACAACACAGGGAAAGATAACCATTATATTGTAATAACTTTAAATGTAGTATAATTTATAAAAATACTGAATCACTATGTTGTACATCTGAAACAAATATAATACTGTAAATCAACTATATACTTCAATAAGAAATAAAAAAAATTTTAAATTAAAGAAATTGCTTAAACTGTTTAACACCTCTGCTGGGCAAGGAGGTGGTAAGAGGAAAGCAGGAAGGTGACCAAATACTTCACAGGAAAGCTGGGAAATGAGATGTCCAGTGAAGCTTTGAAAAGTTCCAACACACGCCTGTGAATCTAGAAGACACACGTGCAGGGCTGTACAGGCTCAAAAGACCTGAGAAGGCCATAAACTCTCACCTATGGCTGACCTTGAGCAACATATAAAGAATTTGATTATGCACCATAACCAAGTGGGATTTATCCCAGTAGGGCAAGGTTGGTTCAATATATAAAAATCAATCAATGTAATACACCATATTAACAGAACAGAGAGCAAAAACCATGATTATCTCAACAGACACAAAATAGCTTTGACAAAATCCAACAACCTTTCATGATAAAAACACTCAACAAACTAGGTATATCAACCCAATACAGAGCACCTACAAAAAATATACAGCTAACAGCACACTCAATGGTGAAGGACTGAAAGCTTTCCTCCTGAGATAAGACAAGACAAGGACATCTGCTGCCATCACTGCTACTCAACACTGAACTGGAGGCTCTGGCCAGGCAACTAGGCAAGAAGATGAAATTAAAGGTTTTGAAAAGAAAGAAGTGAAACCATCTCTATGCGCAGATGCCGTGGCCTTGTACACAGATCCTAAGGCAGCCATTAAAGGAACTGCAACTGCTGGAGGGAATAAACGAGTAGAGCAAGGCTGCAGGGTACAGGATCCACAAACAAAACCTCATCTGCGTGCTTGCAATGAATGATCTGAAAATCAACTCAAGGAAACAATGCCATTTACAACAGGATAAGAAACAGAAGTGTAGGCCATGTACACTGAATACTGTAAAAAAAAACTGTTGACAAAGATATCCCATGTACATGGATCAGAACACTTAACGTCGTTGACAATCCTCCTCAAATTCATCTACAGATTTCACACAATCCCTATCAAAATTTCAACTGCCCTTTCTTTTCTTTTCTTTTTTGCAGAGCTGGACAAGCTGATCCTTTAATTCATATGGAAATGCAAAGAACCCAGAATAGGTGAAACAATATGAAAAAGAACACTTACTACAAAGCTACAGTAATCAAGAAGGGTGTGGGACTTCCCTGGCGGTCCAGTGGTTAAGACACTGCACTTCCATTGCAGGGGGCACGGGTTCGATCCCTGGTCAGTGAACTAAGATCCCGCATGCCGCACAGGTGGCCAAAACAAACAAACAAACCAAACCAAACAAAAACAAAAGGTGGTGTTCACACAAGGATGGATATACAGATCAATGGAATGGAAAACGACTGAGAACGCAGATCAATGGAATGGAATACAACTGAGAACCCAGAAGTAAATCCATGCACGTACAGTCAAAAGATCTCTGACAAGTGTGTCAACCATGGGGAAAGGACAGTCCCTTCAATAGATGGTGTTGGGACAACTGGACATTCACATGCAAAGGAATGAAGCTGGACCCTTAACTCAAAATGGATCAAAGGCCTAAATTAACAGCTGAAACAATAAAACTCTTAGAAAAAAACAGGAGTAAATCTCTGTGACGTTGGATTTGACAATGGTTTCTTAGATATAACAACTAAACACTTTCAACAAAAGAAAAAATAGATAAATTGGCTATATAAAATTTTTTAATTTTTGTGTTGAAAACGTCAAGAAAACAAAGAGACAACCCACAGAATGAAACAAAATTCATGCAAATCATATACCTGACAAGGGGCTCTTGTTCAGTAAATTAAGAACTCTTAGAACTTAATGATAAAGGCTAAATATCTCAATTAAATGTGGGCAAAGTGGATCGTGGTAGACAGCTGTTATGGACTGCATGTTTGTGTCCCCCAAAACTCATGCGCTGAAACCCTAACCACCATGGGAAGGTACCAGGAGCCGAGGACCTTGGGAAGTAGTTATCAATAGGTTTAGGTGAGGACCCAAGGGTGGAGCCACCACGATGGGATTAGGAGAGAACGAGACTGGAACTTGCTCTGTCCTCCCTGTGAAGACCCAGCAAGAAGTCAGTCATCTGCAGCCCAGAATGAGGGTCCTCACCAGAACCCAACCACATGGGAACCCTGATCTCAGACTTCCCAGCCTCCAGCCTGTGAGAAATAATCTCTGCTGTCCAAACTAGCCCCAGTTTATGGTATTTTTGTGACAGCAGTCAAACTAAGACAGCAGCTTTTGTGATGGTTCCCGAAGATCTTCAACTCCTGACATTCACGTCCAATGTGGCCCCTCCCTGGAGTGTGGGCTGGACAGAACGCTGGGATATGACTTCTGACGTTAAGCTACAAAAATACTCCAGCTTCCATCCTGCTCTTTCTTGCTTTCACTCCCCTGCTTTGCAGACGGAAACCAGCTGCCGTGCTGTGAACTGCTCTGCGGCCTCTGGCTACAGTGTATAAGGAACTGAAGCCTGACTGAGAACTGACTACTGCCAACACCTACGTGAGTGAGGCCGGAGCTGCATCCTTCCTCAGTCGAGCTTTCAGCAGAGACCACAGCACAGGCTGGCATGTGGGCTGCAGCCCTGGGAGAGGCCCTGGGCCACAGTCCCAGCCCACAAAGACTGTGAGACAATAAATCCTTGTCGTTTTAGACGGTTCTGAATAGACATTTCTCCAAAGAGGGTAAAAAAAAATGGCCAATAAGCAGGTGAAAAGGTGCCTAACTAGGGGAATGCAAATCAAACCACAATGAATATCAATCAAAAGAAAACCTGATGCCTAATCCAGTCACTCTATACAAACACCTACGCTCCAATAATTAAACCAGGACTTAATTTCTCTGCTTCCAGGTCCCCACTCCAGCCTGACTATATGAAGCGTTGGTAGGGATGGACAGTCCAGGCACTTACACACAGTGAGCATGACAGACATGGACAACCCTGGGAGAGCCCGGGCGGAAGTCAGTCAAGCTGAAGACAAGCCTCACCCAGACCCCACCTCAGCAGACATCCTACTTGTACGTGAACGCCCTAGAGCAGGGCCACTGAAAGCACCTTTCACGGAACAGCCCAAGGCCTTGCACTGATTTTTACTGGTCCACCACAAGATAAACACAGAAATTCGGAGTAGCCTTTAGAGAGTTCTACAGCAATTTAACGGAGAAACTTTTATCTTAAAAAATCTGAGCCTGGGCTTCCCTGGTGGCGCAGTGGTTGAGAGTCCGCCTGCCGATGCAGGGGACACGGGTTCGTGCCCTGGTCCGGGAAGATCCCACATGCTGCAGAGCAGCTGGGCCCGTGAGCCATGGCCGCTGAGCCTGCGCGTCTGGAGCCTGTGCTCCGCAGCGGGAGAGGCCACAACGGTGAGAGGCCCGCGTACCGCAAAAAAAAAAAAAAAAATAGTCACTGACATATGAGTCCACACAAAAGGGATACAACATAGAAGCATATACAAACGTGCACAGTAAAAACACAACCATGCATGAAATGATAAATGCCAAATCTGAGATGGAGCCACCTCTGAGGAAAGAGAAAGGGGAAACCGGGAAAGGCACAGACAAAGTTAACTCTGTATAATGCAGTCTTTCTTTAAAAAAAGACCTGTTACAAATAAGACAAAAAGGTTAAGATTTGAGGAGGGTAAGTGGAGGATGTTGGTTACATCATTCTCTAAAACCTGCCTGTGTGTTAGAAACAATTCTTTTAAAAACGCCAAAAATAAAAACAAAGAGAAAAATGATAATTTATAGTAACTGCTACAAAGGGGAAGAATAAAAGAGTGACTGTAGCAGAGTAACAAAACAGACACAGTTCAGACTGGGAGTCAGGACAGAACTCTCTGAGAGTGGCACTTACACAGCAAAGTGAAGAAAGAGTCCGTAAGGATGTCCACCCTGGAAGCACAGAAAGTACAACGGTCTTGAGGCGAAAGGAAAGGTGTGCAGGGCCGTGAGCCCCCAGGGAGCCAGGGCGGAGAGTGTGCCCGTGTGGCTGAAGCCACTGCAGGATTTTAAAGCACAGAAGCAACAGGACACAACCTGTGCCTCAGAAAGATCCCTCTGCTGCTTGCTTTGTAAAGACTGGGGGAGGTAAAGCAGGAGAATCAGAGAGGCTGTGCAGGGCCCAGACAAGAGATGATGGCTAACATTCACTCGGTGGCAACGTAAGGAGAAAAGTAAAACCGGACTCGAGTTACATTTTCAACAAAAACTAACAGACCTTAATGCTAGAGGGTTTAAGGAGGAGAGGCAGAGAAGGAGGCATAATGTCCAAAATGAGATCAGATGAGCTCGTAAGGCAGGTCTGAAATTTAATCCTGAATTTCCTAGTTCCCACAACAATGTAGAACTCACTATGAATTACCTAATTTGCAGAGTCTATAATATGAAAACAAACCAGCAGTTGTGAAAAACACAAAAATTCCTGGTAAAGAAATTTCACAAAAATGTCTTCCTCATAAAGGCAAAGTTGTATGTCATAAAAGAAATTCCCTACACAATATCCCTTCTGTAAATTCAAACTGTTTCGTAATCCTGCTTCCATCACATCTCTTAATATTACTGACACAGAAATAGTTAAGTATGCACGCGGTAATTTCTAGAATAACCACTGGAAGAACAGAAACAATGAAAAGAATTGAGAATGGCCATTTCAAAAGTAGGCAAGAAACAAGAAACGCGTGTAAAGATAGAAACCACAAGATAAGATGATTATACACCTGAACGCATCAACACATTGTACAATAAATGTCCATGGACTGATGCCCTAGCAGGCAGGGAAGGGAGGACTCTCAGGGCCCAGCACCGGCTGATGCACCACACGCACCGCACGCAGGGAGGTACGGGAGTGGCCCAGCAGGTCCAGGGCTGAGATGCCCAATAGAGCTCCTCCAGTCAGGGTCATGCTTTTGTCCGGTGCACCCAGCAGGGAGGAGCCAGCCCACCTGGAGCCCTGGGGTGGGGTGGGGGCCGGACGGCCAGCTGTGTGTCCAGGACCCAGCCTGCTGCTGGAAGTGTGCTTTCACACAGGGGGACTGAGCACATGCAGGTAAACACACTGGGCAACAGAAAGCAGGTTTCTCACCGCTGAAGGCAAGAACTACAAGCATAGAAAGGATGAAATCTGAAAAACACCCTGCAGTGTTGGAACAGAACTGGAGATGATGGTATAAACTCATGGTGTGGGATGGATGATGGACGGAAGAGAAGGAAAGAGGGAGAGAGGAAGGAAGGCTAGCTGTACAGATGTGACACCTGGGCTAAAACGTGATAGAACACAAAAGAAATGCTCCAGGTGTTAATCACCATTGCTGGGGAAAGGGAACACAGGGACGGGATGAGTAGGCGCACACAGAAGTTAAGGTAACATTCTGTTCCTATGACAGATGATGTTCATGCTACTATCATCACGTTATCATGCTTCCTAACACGTATTCTGCATGTGAGGGTGCTCTCAACACAGCACCTCAAGAGCCTTCACTTCAAGTTCTAGTACTCGTATGAACCTAAGACTCGTACTGGAAATTATTTCCGCTGACTTCCTTCTGTGAGTCAGGCAGAGCACATCATTTTGATTTATTTGCTTTAAACAACCATGCTCAACCACGACTGTCTATTCCCGTACAGACATACTTGTTCCTCAAAGAAAAACCTCCTCTTCATGAATATCCATCCTTTTAATCTCACCAATGTACCTTAACCCTAAAGAAAAATGTTAATTCAAAGAGAAATAATGGCTTTCTTATCACCAAATAAGGATTCAGCTGAAATATGACTACTGAAGCAATTAATAAAACCCTCACCTCTATCTAGGCTAGTACATAAAGGTTCTTAAGGAAAGGTCCATTCAAAAGAGAAAAACAACATGAGATAAAGTGTTTTAGACTTTCCGCTAAACAAAGGTCCTTTTGTTGTTGTTGTTTTAACATTCTCCTGACTATATATTTATAGGTTATGTAAGAATAAAATAACTACTTTAACTTACCATTCCACTGGAATTATTTACTCCATTCATATTAATTTTGGTTACAAATCTAACTGACGGAGGTGCTTCTGGGTATTTAGGTCCACATTCTACTTTCAGGCTATATATTCTGTTTTCATAATTTGTCTGGAAGGCAAAAATAATAATAATAATATTGAAGTGCTAATCAAGAGGGAAAGTACAATATAAAGGTACTTAATATTACCACTTGTATGATCAAGAATTTACTTTTCTACGAATTTATTTGATCTATATGGCTAGAAAAAAGGCAGCAAGCACACTTAAAAGCAGAGATTTTACAAAACTAAATAATTCTACAAAGTAATATCAAAAAGATCAGAACTTGCTTTTGTGGTACAGACAATGCCTGTAACAAATTAAAAGGAAAAAACAGACCACTTAAATTCAGATTTTACTAAAAAGTCCGTATTGTGGCTTGACCTGTGTCACACATATATAAAGGTTCCCATTTTTCCAGGACAATTCTGTTTATTCTTACTGCTCCTGTATTAATTATTAATAATACTTCATTTCATTCTCAAAAGGGTCTGGCTGGACAATAAATTATATGGTTACCCCATTTATACAGCAATCAATATATCTTCTGGTATAAACACCATATTATACCATTGTCCAGCACTAGAACAATTAATTCATGCCTCTTGTTAGTTACATTTACATTACTACTTCATTAATTTTGTTGTCCATTAAATTCCATTATCTAAATTCAGAGATACAATACCCAACTTTTATTTTTCCACATCATTTAAAAACAGGGTTTCTTAATCGAGAAGTTGAACATTACCATATTATAAAACAGCCATTTTAAAGCTACCAGACTTAATGCTTTTAGATTTTTCAAGGCTTACTTTCATGCCTATAATTAACTCTTCTTTATCCTTATGGCTTCTGTTCACTAGGTAAACTTATTAGTGTTCAATTAAAACAAGAAAGTAAAAAAATAAATGGAAGTGACAAATTTCATACCTGTTGATTCCTGTATAAACATGGGAAAAAAGTAGTTAACCATCTATAGATTTCACTTACCCCAACTGATCCACAGCTTCCTCTCCCTTAAGTAAGAGTTCTCCCAAGTGGAGGTCAGGTCTGGGTTATTAAACTACCGTAATTTAAAATGTATACAACAATCTTATACATATATTATTAAATATTTCAATATTTTAAAAAAGAAACAGCTGGATAAAACTCATCCAAGTTTAACAGCAAACATATATTAATAATATGCCCAGGACCTGGAGAGGTTTAAACAGGACTAAAGGTCAAGGAAATCATCTGGTCTGTCGTTCTCCAATCACATGCACAGCAGCCTCTCTAGAAAACTTGCGTTAAAAATAATAATAATTTTTTTTAAATGATACAAATGAACTTATATACAAAACAGAAACAGACTCACAGACATAAAAAGCAAACTTATGGTCACCAAAGGGGAAAGTGGCAGGGGGAGGGGTAAATTAGGAGTTTGGGGTTAACAGATACACACTACTATACATAGAATAGATAACCAACAAGGACCTACTATAGAGCACAGGGAAAACGATACTCAATATTTTGTAATAACCTACCAGGGAAAAGAATCTGAAAAAAAATAGATACATATGTATGTATAACTGAATAACTTTGCTGTGCACCTGAAACTAACACAACATTGTAAATAAACTATACTTCAATAAAAAAAGAAATAAAAGGAAAAAAATTTTTCTTAAATAGCCCCTGAGAAATTCCATACTGTTAAAAATACTCAAAGTACATGGAAACAACTAGAACTCTCATACTTTGCTGGTTGTAGGGAATGGTATAACCATTTTGGAAACAGTATGGCATTTTCTTATAAAGATAAATAAGCACACACCTCCCCTACCAAGTAGGAATTCCATTCCTAGACATTTTATCCAAGAGAAATGGAAACAAACCTATGTTCACAAGAAGACTTGTAATCACAGCAGCTTTACTTGTAATGGGCAGGGAGTACTGTGATCAGGAGAAGCGATAAGCACACTGTGGCATCTCTGTGAAACACACCACTACCCACTTCATGGAACAACACAGCTGATCCCGAGACATTATATGCCAAGTCAAAAGAAGCGGGCCTCTAAGCACACACACTGCACGATTCCACTGGCACAAAGTCCTACAACACACAAGACTACTCTAGGGGGTAGGGAGTAGTGACTGGGGCAGGGCGGGGAGGGGCACAGGGAATTTCTGGCGGCACAGACATGTTCTGTGTCTCGACATGGGTGCGGGTAACAGGCTCCATTTGTCGAAAATCATGGTAATATCTATGCATTTCACTATATGCAAATTATACCTCAATCTAAGCTAGCCTACAATGATTAAACATCCTAACTTTTGGTACCTTGGATTAATTTCATCACCCCTGAATTTTAAATTAACAGCCAAGTCTTTCTGTTGTCTAACAAAAGAGTGACAGAAAAGAGAGTAGTAAAAGGAACTAATGTTTATTAATTATGTACTACACATACTCTCTTATTGTCTAATTATTAATTCATTTAATTCTCAAAACTTCTAAAGTATACATATAAGGAAACTTGGAAATGTTACTGAACATCTAATGCTAAAAAATACTGCTTAGAAAATTTAATACACAAACATATATGGAAAAACAAAATCGCTAATTATATAAATCCAAATAAACAGTGGAAAAACATAAAAAACCAGGGATCTTAGTAACATATAAAAAACATATAAAAAACCGAGAAACAACTAACCAAGTAACAGAATGCTGAGGTAGGAATTCTCCTGTTACCCTAAAGCTGGGGACAAAATTGTTCTGAATCTGGCACCTTCCAAAGAAAAACCAACTAAGCCGAGATGCCGCCCCTGCAGGTTTTATTAAAAGGCAGCTGAGCAGCTGAATGAGTGCTGGGACCGCCCACTCTCACCCAGCCCCCCAGGCCTCAGCAGGTGGGGAAGCCTGGCTGGAAAGCCTGGCTGGAAGGACAGGGCCTCTCAGGGGTGCCTCCCGCTCCACAGAAAGGGGAAGGGGCTCCAAGACAACCCCTCCCCCAGCAGAAAGCGGCAGGGGGCAGCATCCTGTCTCTGCGCCCCCTGCAAGCAGGCCTAGCCCCATCCGACCCTACAGCAGCCTTGGCTCCCACTGGGCACAGCAACCCAGGGAGCTTCCTGTGGTTCAGTGACACCAGGAAACAGCTAGTTCGGGGGACCTGCTGATGACCCCAACCGGGTGAGAGAGACTTGTGAACTAGGTTACAGGGCAGCCCACAGAATCATGGGGGGTCTTATGCACAAACTCCAAAACACTCTTAAAGTCTCTTAGAGGTAGCGACTAGAGAAAAACCAAATGTAAATCATTTCGAATGCATACTCCACCCAGTTCAGACTGTCCAATCTTCAAGCTGTTCATTAGATAAGAATGCTCATTATTATAAGCACTTACTTTTACCAAAAAGACCATCTGGTGATACTGTTCACAGGCAGTGAAAATCAAGGTTTTCATTACAAATACCAAGTTATAAAACATCAAGAATTCTAACCATCAGGATTTTATTTCCTTCCTCACATGTCTTATGGAAAAATCAGAGCACTGGAGGGAAGAGGGAACTTGTTAGTTTAGCAGAGTGCACAAATTCTGCAAAGGAATACCAGAAAATGCAAAACATACATTAATTCATTCTCTAAAGTTAACATTGCTAATTACCTGACCATTTTCCTTTGAGAAAAAATAAAGAGGAAATCTAAACTCTACCTAACAGCAAAACAGTTGAAATGCTCCCATCACAGGCAGCAAACAGTATACAAAACCAAAGACTAAAAAAACCTTCATATTTGTGTTCTTTCCAACAAGTCAAAAAACATACAATACATATTTCCAAGAGTCACTGCAGGGTGCGCAGTAAATGGGGCCTTTGAGTAAGGAATGCAACGCAGAAAAAAATTTCCCAGAGTCTGAAAAAGATTTTGAGTAAAAATAGAAAGGCATAAACTTGAGAAAGACCGAAGAATAAAACAACAGGTCTGTTGCCAGCAATGCTAGAAAACATGCAAGAATCAGCCTCGTCTACATATTTTATAGATGAAAACATGGAGGCCAGAACATTTCCACGGCGAGTCAACCGTCATTGGCCAACAGCAATGTGCACTCAACACAAACCAATTTAGAAACCCTGATGACACACACAGCAGGTTAGTAACATGTTACATCAAAATACACTCTTTGCTCTTCCCAAATACCCCTCCATTTCCTCACCTTTTCTCCTCTCTATCTGGAATGTTCTCCATCCCCATCACCACCTTCTGAAATCCTACCAGCCAGTCCTTTAAGGCTCATTCCAAAGGCAACTTCCTCCACTGTTCAGCTTTCCTCAATTATTCCAGCTAGAAGAAACATATTCTAAAGTCCCGCAGTGAACTTTCTCTGCCATATTCAGAATCTATCATTTGTGTTCATTTCTTCTCCTCTACTCAACTGCAAACACTTTGGCAGCAATGATTGTATCGGTCTTTTCCCCCCAATCCTCCAGAAAATCAAGCATCAATAAATGTATACAAAATAAGTAAAAGGTGAGGAAGTGTTTCAGTTAAAGTTATAATTATTTATTTTAATATCAATATTATAAAATAAAATGCTTACTCTAAAGTAACAATAAATATTAATAGAAAAAATATGTAATTTATAGCACTGACCCTTGGTGGCCCAATAATCATGCCTGTCCACCTTGTAAGTGTCATATCTTCATCATCTTCCAGGCCCCAGCTAACCGTACCATCGCCTACTCCTTTTTGTCCTTCTTCAAGTTCTTCCAACAAGCGAAAATTACGAGGAACTTTAACGCCTATACAAAAGAATGTCAATGTAAATGTAAAAAGCTCATAATTATAAGGGCTACACATATTCAAATTCAGCTTTTCCCAAATTAACCTTTAAAAATTACTTCCCAAAAAGACAAAATTCCCTTTAAAAAGCATTCTGCCCCCAAAAATGCTGAATCTAAAAACCCTTCAAAATGAAAACGCTAAAGAAAGCACTGTTCCAAACATTAACAGCAGTACAGAACGTGTATATAAATTCCTAAGCAATCAGTTTTAAACTGACATAAATCAATCATAAGGGAATCATCGTAAGTGATTATTTTTCCATAACTGAGATTCCTGTTCCTCAGCCAAGAACACGACATCGAATAAACAGGCGTGACCAGAAAGTCCATAAAAGCTCCATTTCATTAGCGTATACTCTCCAGTAATCTTCAAAGAAGAGAATTATGTTCCATCTGTAAAAACGCACTAAGAGGTACTATTTTGAGAATGCTGACCCCACCCTCGGTCTTGAGCCAGTCTGCTGGCTGCCTAATAACCAGGGGGCCCTGTCTCCCCCGTCAGCAGGCTGGAGGCTGGAAAGCCAGCCTCCTGGATGTTTCCTAAGACACGTCCTTCTCATCTGGGCCCAACCCAGCAACAGTTTCACAATCCAACAGCCTTTCTCACACCTCCACTTCTTTAGACCTCCTCATTCTACTTATTTCTAAAATCTTACCACAGAAATGTTCCTCTCTGCCTAGAACCCCCAGCCTTTCACAGTCCCTGCTCCCTCACTCTCACTGAACCTGGTCTTTGCCACCATTCTGACCTCCAACCCTCGGAACCAACCATGATTTGTGCACTTTATCACAATCTGTCCTAGGATCACTGGCCTGGCCTCTCCAGAGGATGGACCCTGTGGTTTTCCGTGTTCTCAATAGCATCTAGCATGAAACACCCTCCAGCCCCACTGCACAAGTCTTGAAAAAAATCAGGACCCTCTCCTTCTGGCTCTGGAGCACCGCCTCTCTCCCTCCCTCCCTCCCTCCCTCCCTCTCACATGCAAGCACACACACAATCATAAGGCAGGAAAAAAGTGACGTCTCTTTTAAAGCGACTGTCATTTTGTATAACTTATCTCTCTTGCTGAAACTAAAACATCTCTTTCAGTTACTAATTTGTAGTAATGCTTCTGGACAAATAATGGAAAGCCAATAAGTACTGTAACTTAAAAACACTAGCCACGGGGCTTCCCTGGTGGTGCAGTGGTTATGAATCCGCCTGCCAATGCAGGGGACATGGGTTCGATCCCTGGTCCGGGAAGATCCCACATGCCACAGAGCGACTAAGCCCGTGCGCCACAACTAATGAGCCTGCAAACCACAACTACGGAAGCCCGTGCGCCTAGAGCCCGTGTTCCGCAACAAGAGAAGCCACCGCAATGAGAAGCCTGCACACTGCAATGAAGACCCAACGCAGCCAAAAATAAAATAAATTATATTAAAAAAAAACTAGCCACTTAATGTACTGTGCTTCATAAAAAAGGCTTGAAAATCTTGGGCCACAGAAACATGGGGCTGTTATAAATCACAAAAACAAGAGTACTCATTATTACAACTACAATAACTAGTAATAACCATTTGTTCAGGGTACACTGTGTGCTATTTTAAATAAATTATCCCATTTGATCCTAAAAGCACTCATTTTACAGTTATAGAAACTGAAGTTTGGAAGAGTAAGTGACCTACCCAAGGTCACACAGTTACAAGCGGCAGATCCAGTATTAAAACCCAGTTTCTAGACCAAAGTCACTCTCTTAACCGGTGGGTTATACAGCAAGCCATCCCGGCAGCATCGTGGGCGCTGCCCAAGGCCAGCTCCCAGTGCCGCTGCCTCCCAGACAGGGGCCCCGGCGGCCCCGTTTTCTCATCTATAAAAGGGAGACCACGGTGGCTTCTGCTCCAAACAACCACTGTGAAAATTAAACAAGGTATCTATCTTAAACAGAATAAATGTTGACTATGACCAGTTTAGTGTCCATATTAAATAAAATTACAAAAAACTTCCATTCACCTCCATCTACGTTTTGGGAGAATTCAAGCTCTCTGTACAGTCCTGAAGGTTGGCACCCAGGAAACAGTCCCCTGAGCTCTAAGTTTCTATGCACATAACACTGGGACAACTGCTCTTCCCTGCAGCTGCACAGTCAGAATCTCCACCATCTATTGCTACTGACTTGCTTTTTAAAGGCTTCTTAAAGGACCCTGATTACCCTTACCGTTATGAAGTCATTCCCAAAGAAAAATTCTAAATTTGTGTTGAATTTTGTTGCCTCCTTTTTATAAACAATTCAGTCAGGTGAGCTTTATGCGCGTCCAAAACTACAAAGTAAACAATGTAAAAGTAATGTTTCTTTTTACATAAGTGCCATAAAAGTGATAAACCTAGTGACTGCTAAACTTTTCACCATTTCTCTATGCTGCATCTTGGGGAAACAGTTCTAAGATTAATGGATCAGTTATTGGCAATGTTAACATTTAAAAGATTATAGCAGCTAAGATTATTTTGTTTTTAAAGTATAAGACTCAAAACAAACACCAGTGAGCTATATTTCTGAATTCAGGGCTAGAGTACTCTGGTTTTATTTCAACCAAGCACTAATGTCTGTGAAGAGAAAACACCACGAGATGGGGATGTTGGTCTGTGAGTTGCAGTGTGTACATAAGCTGCCCTCTGGATCTCTTGCCATGTCTGAGCCGCCTTCTATTAGTTCTGCTTGCCTTTTTCCTACGTGTGTATATGTGTGCATGTTGTTGTTATTACTGTTGTTGTTTAATAGTTTTAAATACTTTAATCCCTTAGTCTGGGATCTTCATTAAAAGAAAAAAATCCTCAGAGACCATCCAGTCCAAAACCTAACTCTTTAGAGAAAAGAAAATTCTCACCAGGAAAAGTTAGGTGATAATCCTAAAATCACTTAACTACCAGTTAGTTACCAAACCAAGTCAAAAACCCAAGTCTCCAGGCATCCACTAATCTAGTCTCCTCCTTACTACATTACAATGAACCTCCATTCATAAGACCTAAGACCCAAAATAATATTATTCAAAAGCAAAATGCTGAATGCAAACAACCTAGAAAACATGCTTCCAGTTTTTAATCTCAAGGCTATCCGATTCCTAATAATGTACCTTTAATTCCCACAATACCAAAAGTAAAGGCATAAACACTGCCAAATAAAAACTAGAATGAGTCTTGAAATGCTGTTTATTAGGAACATGGATTTCCCAATTATAACTCATAAATATTTTTACCTTTTTCAGTTATAAGGAAAAAAGCCCAAATAAAACCTTAAACAGTAATAAATATGTCAATCTATCCACACAAACGTAAGAAATGACAGCAAAGCAAATTTAACATCACTTTGCAACCAACCATCTAAATTAAGAAAGCTCTGATAACACAAAAAAAAAAAAAAAAAAAAAAAAGAGATGAGGTGGTATAGTTTTCAAGAGGGCCAGGTGAATTCCAGTTCTACACTCTGGGATGTAGAAAACCCAAAAATAAATAACCATGAATATTTCAGTGTTATTTCTTTTCAGATTACTTTCCATATATAGTAATATATGGTTTCTGTGTTTTTTCCCAAATGATATCATGACTCATAATTTTGTAACTTGTTCTTTTCCTCACTTACAAACATGTTTCTATATAAGCATAATCAAGTACCATTTTTAAATGTCCTGGTGAATAATATTAGTCACGTTGGGGAACGGGGTGGGCAGGACTTCACTGGACACCCTTTCACACTATTTGACCAGGTGAATCATCATCACCTACAGAAATGAAAGGAAAACCCCCATACAAACAGAAAGAATTTCTTCCATCTTATCTGCTTTCCAGCCCTAGGTAGCTGGTCCTCACGAACACCCCGGCTCCCCGCACTACATGCCCAGAGTGGCGGTGGTAGGTTAGGGGAGGGAGTGTCGGGGCGCCCAGCTTATGGGCCGGCCAGGCTGCGTAACTGCCCCCGCAGAGTTCTCTTAGGCGCTTGGGCTTCTGTCACCCTTCGACACACCTGAGGAGGCACGCTGCTAAGATGGAACTCCTGAACAGTCCCACTTGTAATCTGAGTGCTTGCTTCCCATCCCACTCTGGGAGTTCGGAGTCCCCGCAAACTCCCAGCAGGCTGACTTAGTTAAAATGGACATATTTATTGAGCACCTCCTATGTGACAGACATTTGCTAAAAGCTTTACAGGCAGAAGCATTAAATTTTACCTTATGTTGTTTTAACATCACCATTTCACTAAGTAAGAAAATTAAGGCTTAAACTACTAGGTTGGGCCACATGAGTGAAACTGCTGATGTTCAGGCATCTCTGTGATCAACAGAAAGTGATTTTGCAAGGTTCACCCTAAAAACATGGAGAGCGAGTGGGGGAGGCGAGGAGGGAACAAGTCTCAAAGCCCAAGCTGCCCGCCATTACTCTCACTCCCTCCCCTCAGTCCCGGATGGCACGCACATCCCTGGCCCTGCAAATCTGATGGGAGGAGGAACACGTCATGACCAGCTGTGGGGGCAACTGCCAAAAATAAATCCTGCTCTGAACACTGGTAAAAAGAGCCTTTCCATATATCACACACCTGGGTGTGCGCGAAGGAAAATATTTCCCTACCCAGGGAAATAATATAACTGTCATTTTATATTTTTCAAAGTACTTTCCCATACAGTCATCTGACTGAATAAGGGAAATATCTTTTGAGGTATGATGGGCAGATATATCCACATTTTCACAAAGATCAAAGACATGAAGTAACTCACTGAGGATCATGGCAAGCCAGTAGCTGAGTCAAAAGTGAAATTCACATTTCTCAGCATAAGTACAACTGTTTCCATTACTGTATACTGCATACTTCAGAAAATAAAAAAGAAAGCAGGGAAACTTCAGAATGTGTATGACTTAAAACACATATTTTTCAAAATATACATTGTTGAAATTCACTATATAAACAAAAACATCATAAAGAGAGTTTTAA